AAGCTCAAAAGAAGAAGGCAGATGAGGAAGCTGAAAAGAAGAAGAAGGCAGAGGAGGAAGCTGAAAAGAAGAAGGCAGAGGAGGAGTCTGATAGTGAGGACAGTCTGTCTGGCACCGAGTTCGGATCAGATGGATCAGAAGAAGAGGAAGATGGCAGCGAAGAGGAAGAAGAGCCAGAGGAGACAAAAGGTAAGAGGACGAAGGTAGAGAAGAAGGAGCCAAAGGAGTCAAGCAGACAGGACAAGAATGAGAGCGAGAAGGAGACAAAGAAGGAGACAAAGAAGGAGTCAAAGGGAAGCAAGAACAAGGGGAAGAAGGAAACAAAAGGTGAGAAAAAGCGGAAGGCAGAGAAGAACAAGACGGCAGATGACAAGGATTCCAAGAGAGCAAAGAGAGACAAGAAGGAGAGTGAAGAAGAGGAAGAGGAGCCAGAAGGAGGCGAAGAGGAGAAGGCTTTGAGTGAAGCTGAGAGGTCTTTGGAGGACGCAAGCAAGGGCGATGGTGAGATCACAAGCACGAATCACAGGGCGGAATATATGAGGTTCCGCCGCTGGACCAAGAACAAGAAGCGCTTTCCGGCCAAGCTTGTGGCATCTTTGAACTCTCAAGAGTCTAGGAACAAGCTGTTCATCGACTACGTGAAGTGTGGGGGTGATGTCAATGAGATCATGGTGAAGCACGAGCAAACCCTGCGGGAATCCACCACGAGCCAGGTCCAGTGGGGGTTCCGGGGTGAGCAGTGGATGATCTCGCGGCACGGCGAGAAGAAGGCTCAGAAGCTGATTGCCCGCAAGAAAGAACTTGGGCTTTCGATTCAAGACCCAGAGTTGCCAGACGACAAAGATGAGCGTCTGTACTTTACCCTGATCAACCTCGACATGGCTAACATTTCAGAGATGCAGAAGCTGACAAGAATGGAGATCGAGGGGTGCATAGACCAAGCCGGTCTAGATGAGTTCGTGAAGGCTGGAACCCATGCACCCATGCAATAATGATCGCTTTTCTTCCGAACTCTCCTTGATTAGCAAAGTTCCATTCTTGCCTTGGGTCATGAAATCTGGCCCCCTCAACTCCCACTTTATCAACCAACTATTTCAGGGGGCCAGCTTCCATGACCCGGACCCAAGTGGAAATGTGGCAACTCTGATGCGCAGGGTGGTGGGGTGCTGGACCCTTCCGCTGGGCTGAAGATCACTGACTTTTCTGGCAACATTGCCCCCCAGAAGCTTCTGGCAGCACTTGGATCGGCTGGGAATGGCAAGGGCAACGGAAACAAGAATAGGAATAGGAAGAACAAAGGAGGCGACGACAAAGATGCAGAAGGTGAACCAAAAGAGGCAGAGTTTGTTTGCCAAGATTGTGCAAATGGTATTGAGGGGTTAGTCGAAACGGCGACCTGCCACTGGGCCAGGTGGTGGAGGAGACTCCTTTGGCCAAGGCCCAAACTCTTCTTACCCGAGTGCTGAAGGAAGTGGGTGAGTGCAGGCGTGGAACCCGTTACAGTGCAAGACTTTGTTTCTTACCCATGGCCTGTTCGCAGGACGCAGGCCTTCAGATTGCAGCCCATCAAGATGAGCTCCGATCTCATCAATCAACTTTCAGCGGTGGCAGTCAAAATGGAAGCTCTTGCTGGCAAGTTGCAGGAACTTGTCAAAAAGGGCAAGAACAAGACGCGCCACTACCGTGACATCATCACAGAGGCGTTCTTTGGCTCTTTCTTTCTTCACGCTAGAGTCACACTCCCATATTCATATATATATATATCTATCGTATGTACTGTTTATATAGAAATAATATATCACTTATAGATACTTATAGCATATACCGGACTCTTATGTGACAGGTGGACAAGATCAGCAAGACGGCTCGTGAGCGGATCGACTTGGGTAAGGCTTTGTGTCGGGCTAGTGAAAAGGCCACAAGACCCCAGGCTGCAGCAAAGGCAAAAGCCAAAGCAGCTGCCAAGGACCTTGAGTGCACCAAGGATTCAAAGGGTTCCTCATAGCTGGAATATATGTGTGTTGGTGAGCGGGGCCATGCCAAACGGCAGTCCTCCTTCAAGCGTTTCGGGATTGCAAGGGGTCAGGTGCGCTGGGCTTTCAAACAATGGAGAATCCAAACTAGTACCATGATCTAGTACCATTCCAAACTTGTAGACATGTTTCCAAACTAGTACCTCAGTGCATCTGCAGGGAAGCAACCACAGTGCTTGCGTGGGGATCTTTCAGTGGCCGCCTGATGGAAAAGCAACACTTATCACCGGTAACTGTTTGGGCCTGCAGGCATAGACCCATGCATATAATTGTCGTTGATAGCTTTGTCCACCCTCGCAGGGAACAGGCTACATCCTCCAGATCGCGATCACGCTCCAGGGCCCGAGCTCGACATGTCGTTGAAGGCCATGATGAAAAGGGTGAAGTACTCCTCACCTCAGAGACTGTCTTTGGCCCATGACCCTTGCCAGGCAAACAGGTGGTCTTCGCTGGGTCTGGGTCCGCGAGAAGGCTTTTGCGAAAAATGTGCTCAGGTGTCCGAATCTTAGGTGAAACCATTTCACCAAGTCATCAAGAACAATGAAAATTGTTGAACGCTTTCCTAGGCAACCTCGGTGACCGATGGATGTGACGAGGCGACCCAGCTTCTCAAGGACAACTTGGATTGTCCTCTTGCTACTCTCATATCATCATGGGGTCGGTCTTCTCATGGAGAGCGCGAATTTCAAAAGTGTCTTGCATTTGCATGAAGTGTGTATCAAATGATTTATATATGTTCTATCTTTTCTTACCTGGTTTCTCTTGATGAGTCTATCGTGCAAGGTGGTGCAGTGAGCACTGCACTCTTCGGCCTGATCGTGTGAGGGTTCACTTGAGTGGTGAACGTCATGAAACTGGAGTCCTCTGGCCATGGGATTGCCTACAGTTCCTCTGGAATCAACAGAAATTTCGGGGCTGGGCTCACGATATTGAAGAAGATTTGGAATTTAGGGTGGAAGAGTTCTGGAAGCACTTGGAACACTTGCCTTTCTACACTTCCTTGCAGTTAGACAATCCTGCCGGGACCATTCCGATCGCATGGCATGCTGATGGCGTAAAGGTGTACAAAACCCAGAAAGTGTGGGTCTACTCGTTTTCATCGTGTATTAGGAAAGGTCCCAGCCTGGCCACTAAGATGCTGTTCGTGTGCATCAGGGATTCTCTCATCGTCAAGTTCATGACGCACGACAGTGTTGGAAGACTTATCGGATACTGTATGGATGTCATGATGACAGGGAATTTTCCTGAACAAGACTTTGAGGGAGCACCCTTTCAGCCCGGGTCGGTTGAGGCCCAGCGCGCAGGTAGTCCTTTTTGTGGAGGCTGGAAGTTTGCCTTCGCAGCATTCAAGGGAGATCAAGAAGCCAGAGTTCTCATCCACAAACTTGTCAGAAATTGGGCAGCGGACTCAATCTGTGAGCATTGTTTGGCATCAAAACTACCAAATGGCTTTGTATATGGTGATTTCTCCGACAACGCTGCCTATTTCGAATGCCTACTGTCACATTCAGATTTTTTGGCACTAAATCCTTCCGAGAAACAATCTGCCTGGGTACACGTCAAAGGTTGGCAAAAGGATCGCAACTTGGATGACCCTCACTGAATTAGAAATATTTTCCTGGGGGTTGTTCACACTAAGTTCTTTGATGTAGATAGTTGGAAACATGGGGCAATTGTGTTGACATCCCCCTCACTTCAACTAAGGATATGTTGCATCTGGTGCACCAGGGTATAGGGCCAATCGCAATTGCCTCCATGGTGACCAACCATTACGAGGACACAATTCCAGGACTGACCTTGGATGGGCTAAATGAACTTCTATCCACCCACGCGTGGGCCGACTACAAAGATTGGTGCCGAAGTCGACGCGATGTTGTTTCCCAGACCTCTTCACGTTTTTCAGGTTTGAGGTTCAACCGGGATTCCTGGCAGAACTATCCAGAGTTGAACAGCAACTACAAAGCTGCCATGGTGAAATACATGGTTCTTTGGGTGGCAAGCTTTTTGGGCAAACTTGCAGCCGAAGTCAACACGGAATCTGCGCGATTGAGGGCAAACACTGCCTATAGCCTGGCCCGCTTTCAGTATCTTCAAGAAGTGTCTGGACCGTGGCTATCCCAAGATGTAGCCAATGAGATGTGCTACTATGGCAGAACGTTCCTGTTGATGTACCAACGTTTAGGGAAGCATGCCAGAAATGTTTGGCCAACCCGAAGGGTGTACAAACTTGTGCCTAAGTTTCATTGTTTCCTCCATGCGTGCTTGTACATCAAACTCACCAAGAGGAACATGCGGTATGAGCACCTATATATGGATGAGGACCTCATGAAACAGATAGGATCAATCTGCAGTAGAACACACCCGTCAACGATGGGCTGGGTGTCTCTCTGTCGGTACTGCGCGCTACTCGAACTGTGCGAGCTGAAGTGAAAGTCTGAGTGCCCGGACACGGGGCAGTGGCAGGGAATGCAACCATGAACCGGGCCCCCGGCTAAAAGGAAAGACCCCTAAATTTGCTGGAGAACGTGCAGTGTTTCTATTTCAACTGTTGCAGGGCAAACCTCTTGTGGTTGAATATGTTGTGTGTTCTTTTTGGGAAAGGATTCGAGGGTCTAGAGGTTTGCTCCCTTAACTATCCATTCACATCCTGTCTTGACACGGGCGGGGCCAGCGAGATTAGCATTCAAACGGCCAAAGGAAACCCAACCTCACGAGGGACATGTTTCTTTAACAAAAAGAGAGAACAATTCCGAGTTACAAGGCTCAAGTTAAGGAGAAACTTCCGAGTTACCACTCATCATTTTTGTTGTCTCACCGGTCAGCTTGCTAACCAACAGGCCACTTCAGCAGTAGAGAACTGCTATCATATAGCCATGAAAACCGTGAATCCGTGAATGCTTCAAAATGCCAACTTTGGCATATTACTTGTGCAAAGGTGTGGTTTTGGCAACTTCAGGTTCTGCAGGGAGTGGACTTTTCCGGTTCGGGTGTAGAGGGCTTGAAGTGGCTGTCCAAAGTGCGTCCCGAGCGAGGAGGAGCCGGAGGGGTGATGTGAGGTTTGGATTTGTCCAAACGCAAGCGTTCACGATCAGCAGGGGTTTCCGGCTCGGAGGGGCTGTGGACAGGTGAAGAGGGGCGGCCGGTGGCAGCTTTGAGCTTCTCGTTCTCCTTCATCAATTGCTCCACTTGGTCCTGGAGAGCTTCGGTAGTGTTCTTGGGCATCTGATCACGAAGATGGTCGAAGACGCGATCGGCCAAGCGATCCAAGCCGTTGCGCTTCTCATCCCAGTCGTCCTTGAGGGAAGCAGGATGAAGGTGACCGATGATGCGGGCGATGTCAACGTCGGAGCTCTCTTGAAGATCTTCCGAGAAAGGGAAGACCAAAGGTAGGCCTCTTGACGATTCCGGAATCCCTCGTACTGCACCAACCTGCCGTTGGCGACAAGCCTTAAAGTCCAGTTCTCCTGCTTTCGACTGAGTACGTCGATAAGGCGTACATCCTCAATGGGTTGGTGGTCAATATGAAGATCGCGACTCCAAGCAGTTGCGACGACTCGACGAGGAAAAGTCAGTTTGTACTCCTGTTGCCGATCCAAGTAAATGTCATCGGGGGACCAGGGAATCGGGTACCGGGTCTCGAAGGAGGTAGTCGATGGAGCCCAGTGGATTTCCTGCGTGGAGAGCGGGAACGACGGGAGGTGCGGCGATCACGTTTTCCTCGATGTCGATGAGCGTCAGGGGAGCTGCTGGTGGAGCGTCCGTGGGCCATGGTCAGAAGAAAAAGTCGATGAGGATGAAAGTGATACGAAAGGAGCAAAATTGAGAGCTGAGGAAGTAGCGGCGGTAAGGTTCAGGGATCACAGATAATGCAGCATGATAAAAGGCACTGAGGGAAAGAAAAAGAAAGAAAGGACAGGAAAAGGAAAGGGAAAGGAAAAGGAAAGAAAGGACAGTGAGACCATAGAAGGCACTGTTTTGGACAAGCGCGCCTGAGTCAAAAAGTTGCACTAGAAAGCAGCCGCATAAAGTTCACGAAGAAGGTGCTGGGGGAGGTGGTGATGGAACCTCAGCAGAATCAGCCGGAGTCGATGCCGGTGGAGGAGTCCTGTGTCGTGTAGCTTGCCAAAGATGACCGTGTAGAAGGCCTCGTCCATCAAGAGGACGTTGATGGGAATGATCCCGTCCCGAAGAGAGAGTCGAGGGAGTAGAACCGCGGGAGGAAGTCGTCCATGGAGAAGTGGATGTGGAGGTGTCGGGTAGTAGAAGTAGAGGATTGGGTGGGGGCGTACGAGAGCGAGAACGGGCAGGTGTGGGTGTAGTAATAGGTGGCGGTGTAGCCGGAGTGGCGGGAGTTGGAGGTGACACCGGTGGTGAGTTCGAAGCATGGTTCTGATGTGATTGTACTCGGGACAAAAGACCTTCATCAGCCGCAGTGCCGAGGGCTAAATTGTCTTCAGGAGTGCCCAAGGCGTGAAGAAAGCCGTTGGGGTTGACGCGATAATGACCGAAGGTAATGTTCTCATCAGGAGGAGGTACAACATGTTGGAGAAGGGAAATACCACGAGCAATCCGACGTTGTTGAATGTTGAACTCATGTACAGCACGACGTGTCTGGATGTAGATGTTCCGGGCAGAGATAGTCTCAAAGTGTTCATCAGGTGGTACCTCTTGAGACATCATGGGGTGGGCACAAAGTGCCTCCGTCGTCCAGGCCGCAAGGCAGACCATCCAGTGAAGCCATAGAAGCTCAGGTTGGCGGTGTGGTTGAGGTCGGACGTTTCCAGGTGGTGGACTGACTGGTAGACGGTAGGGATTGAATACGGAGCCGTAGAACCAGCAAGTAGACCCGTGGGAGGAGGATCCATGAGGTCGAGAACAAGAAGATCAGGAGGAAGTAGAGACGAGTGCGGCAATCTGAGTAACAAACGGCTGCGGCAGTGGGAGAAAGGGAAAGGGAAGAAGTGGAGAAAAG